GCTCGCTCGTCATCCACACGTCGGCCGCCACGCACACATGCGACACAACACCACGCAAACTCCGTCCTAGACGCACTTCACCGACCAATCGACCCCGCCATGCGCTTCGCCGCCTTGAAAATGTCGCTCAGCCCTGGCTCTGTGCCGATCGGGCCCGCCGGCGGCCGCGAAAGTTCTTGGCGCGGCTGGAGATCGCGCTCCCCGGGTCACCGCCTGACCTCCTTCTGCAGCGCTGGGTCCGCCCGGAGACCGATCGAGCCGGGGCGGTGGAGCCGGGGCGGCGCGTGCGGGGCGCCGGGCGAGGTGTGACCGGCGCCGCGTGCCCACAGATGACTGATAACGCCCTGTATCTGGCGTGATTAGGCGGCGCCAGCTATCCCCAGTGTCCCTGTGATGGATCAGCCACTGCCTGGTGCAAGGTTACCAACGCTGCGTCGAATGCGGACGGGCGGACGGGGCGAGAGCAGCGGGCGGGAGAGGAAGATATCGGCGCGCCCGGTAGTTTGTCGTGCCGATACCGGGCTGACGTCGCCCGGGTGCCGCCCCTCTGCATTCTCCGCGTCGCTGACGCAGTCGTTCAGAGTAGACGGTCGCGATCGCCGCGTCACCGATTGTATCTCTGGCAGAGAGTCCTCAGCCTCAGCCTCGGCCCGGCGCCGCTCGGTGGCCCGGGCGGAGAGAGTGGAGGGTGCGTCCCACCGTTCCAGACGGTCTCACATGACCTCCGACCCCGCCGACGCTGCGAATGCCTTCCGCGTCAGAGCCCGACCCTCCGATTGGTGGCTGGAATCGGAAGGCGACTGAAAATCGGCTGTAACGCAGCCTCGGGGCAGAATCCATCTCTGAAATCGTCCACCTGTCAGACGGACGCGTCGGCACTCACCACAAACCGGAGTTTGATTTCTCCCCAGTGGACGAACCGGAATCATGTCGATGAACCGGATTCCAAAATTCAGTTTGATATTCAGAAGTGTTTTGTGTTGTATCTGATAATAATCATCCCTCTGAGAAGTTGACACGGTGCCAAGATTCGCGGAGAAAGGCACGGCCGCAAACCTTGAAGCGGAGTTTGCTTTGGTCAAGGTTTTCCAACTGAAGCTCGTGTGATGCATGACGATGTCATCGGTGCGATAAGCAGCGCGGGCCGACGGACTGTCGTGAGATCACGCCGGACAGTTTTATCCATTAGCCAGATCCAAATGTATCTCAGAGCACCATCACAGCCGCAGCAGTCCCACAAAACATACATCCCCAGCCCTCACAGCGGGTGGGAGGCAGAACCCCGTCGGCAAAAACCACCCACGCGGCGCGTCGCGTCTTGCCACCCTTCGACCGGGGCCATTCCACGCCGGCCACATCCTCTTCATGGACAAAGCGCAGCGCGGCGCGGCCGCTGCTCCCTGCGCCCCGCCGAGCCGTGATCTCAGAGTTCAAGGTCGCGACACGGGCACCGCGGCCGCCACCGCCGCCGGGCATCGTTGCAGCTGAGGCTCGCCGGCGCCGACCTTGATAGGGGCCATCCCGACCGCCCTGCGCTCGGAGCCGGCCGGCCGGCGCCGGCTGATGGCTCCCGGCCGGCCGGGCTGCCCCGGGTGGCTCGTTCACCGAACCGTCTCCCGACTGCCGCTCGGCCGTGTCAGTCAACACCGCCTCCACCGGGAACAGTCAACAGCCGACCCGGCACAGAGTTCCGCCCGGCTGCATTAATTCACCGGCGGGCGTTTGCGCTAGAAACAGAGGGCCATTAACAGCCCCGAACGAGGCGAGTTTCTGTGAAAGCGAACACACGGCTCGGACGCGGCGCTGGCGTGGTCGTCCCCGGGGCGGAGAATGTCGCCGAGCTGCCGCCGCCACCGCCCACCGTCCGCCGCCTTCTCCCAGCGCCGGCCGGTGAAAACGGTCGACATCACGATCTGTCCGGCCCCCGTTTGATAACTAGACCAGATAGCAGCCGGACCGCACCCACCGGCCCATCGGGCCGCCCAGAGCAGACGTGAGCCATGAGGAGTGACCCTCAAAATTCCCATCTGATGCGGTATTACAGAGATGCCAGCCAGAGATATCCAAGGCGGTGCTTGCCTTATAACTGACGAGATAACATAGCTACAAGACGCGGTACGCCCTGCTTAGCTGCTGGGATTCACCCCTCGACACGCGATCATATGTATGAAGTCACACTGTCTCACCACGGAGGCCCTTTAGCTGCACAGATCACACAGCATACTGGCTCCCGAGAAGGAGACAAACAGCACTGCCGAGCCGGGGACAGATCGGTACACAGAACCTTGGCCAGCCGGTTGGAGCGGCGCCAGCTGCAGGTCCCCGTCTCGGCGAGGCTCAGGACCCCCTCCCTGACGGCGGAACGTTGCGGTGTCGGCCGCTGTCCGATCCCATTCGGCGGCGCCCGGACGCGGTGGCAGTTTTTCTAGTCGCGCATTGTTCGCAGCAGCGCCGTGCGGTTCGTTCTGCCGCCGTGGTCGCGGCGTCGTCACGTCTCAAAACCCGGCGGCCGGGGCGGCGCGGCGCGATGACCGCCAGCAAAAACGGACCGACGGCCGGACGGAGACATGAACGACTGCACTTAAACGGGACCATCGGCCCGGCGGCCCGTCATTTGGACACATTACCCCGCCATCGTCCTGTCCGCATCTCGCCGCGGCCAATTTACATAAGCGGCGGCGGCGGGCGCCTCTCCGGCGGCGGCGGTGTTCAGATGAGTCAGGAGGGGCTCAGCGACGGTCGTTCGGTCGGCGTTGACGTCTTTTTGCCGGGATCGTAATCGTCACCTGCGCAGTGCCAAACGCAGTCGGAACGCCGACCGGCGCGGACGGATATTTGTTTACGAGCCTGTAAGTGTCTCGGGTTCTCTGCCCACCCGGCGGCAAGGTTACAGAGGATCCGACACCGGTGCGGAGGCCACTGTGCGGCACAGCGCACGCCGGTGAGCCGCCCGCTCACAAATTGATTGTTTGGATCCCTGCCGGCGGCAAAAAGGGTGTCCCTGTCGTGAGCGCATACCGCGAGGGTATGAATCCTTGATGAGTCAGCGGCGCCCATGAGCTGAACGCAGCCGCCGCTGCGCTGAGTGGTATTGCGAAAAGCCGCCGCGCCGGCCGGTGCGGGACCTTGCAGCCGCCGTATACGGCTCCCGGAGTTTGCACAAGCGCCGCTCTCCTGGCGTCGGCCGAGCGGCGAGCGGCGGCCCGACGCCTCCGATTACACGCCAGGCACCGGCTGGTGCTAGCCGCCAACGCCCGATTGCAGTCACTAGATGGCTGAGTTAGTCTGTTGTAGTCGATCGCAGTCTCCCGGTGGAGGTTCCGTGCCGCGCGCGCCCCGGCACAGTATCGGCGCCGTGCCGCGCTGAGGACACCCGCGGTCGGCGCCGTGCCGCGCCGAGGACGGCCGCGCGGTCGGCGCCGCTCACGGAGCTCGGCGGCGGCGGTTTTTGGGCGCCGGGCCGTGCCGACCGTTCGGCAGGGACGTGGTGCCGGCGCTCGGTTCCGGCGGCACGGCGGCGGTTCGCGGTGCGTGCCGAGGTCGCCTCTAAGGTCGACGGCTGGTCCGGTCGCGCTCCGTCGGCCGGCCGTGGCGCCATGGGACGTTGCCCGCTCGGCGCGAACCGTTGCGGCGCGGCTGCTGGTGCCCCGAGGTGTGACCGGTCACCGTAGGCCGGCGCTCTGAGGCGCACCGCACCCCGTCCCCCGCGAGCTGACCTCGACCCGGGACCGTATCCGCAGCGCATTTACAGCCCACAGCGGGGCCTTATCCGGCCGCACACAAGGGCCGGCGCTGTGCAATAGCCGCATGCAGAATGCAGTCAGTCATGTTCTATAGAGAACTGTGACGGTGAACTGAGGCCAGGCTCAATGTTCTGACTCAGAACCGAGAACCGTCTCACAGCGCTGTTCGCCGTCTCATAAAGATGGCGTATGCTTGTCCTGTAATCGAGGAATGCCGTGTAGATCCCCTCAAACGAGTTTCGTTTTCAAACACACCTTCTTTTAACACGGCGAAGCAGGAACCTGTCGTCGCTGGGCCGAGTTCACAGCGACTTCAAGGCCGCTAGTCGCAACCCTTCGCCGTACAGCGACCGCACAAAGCCAGCGAGCGGTGCGCGGTGACGACGGAGGGACGATGGACCAGGCCTGTGATACGGGGCCAGCGGACGTCTCTATGGCCGCGCATGAATGGTCTCCAGTGCGCCGAATCACGCCCGCCGGGCACCATAAATCAGTCGCTCGCACGGCCGGCCGGGAAATCGGCGCTCTGTAACGACGCGACGCTTTACCCGGACGGCGCGGCGGATCGCGATGGGCAAATTGCCGGCGCCTGACGCCGGGCGGAAACTGAGCTCGTCTCAATCCGTTCAGCTGACGAGTCACCACGCTCGGCGGCGGCTCACAAGCGGGACAATCACCGCCGACAGTGTGTTCAGTCGCTGTTAAAGAGGCTATCATGAGAACACACACGTTATTAATAGGTGGGTGGCGTTCTGGTCAGACTGCCTGGTGCGACCGATGCTGCTCTTTGTCGCCGCTGTGCGCCGGCCGAGGCGCCGTTTAGAGGCGCCGTAATTAATGGTGATGGCCGCCGGGTGTTCGATGTCGCTGACGGCTGACGGAACAAAAGCGATCGGGCCGGTCTGCTGTGGCGCCGTAATTGTCGACCGAGCCGGCGCACCATTCCGGGAGTTCACGGGAGAGGTCATCCACTGACCGGGCTTACCGCTCAGGGTCGCCGTCATTATCTCACCGTGGGGGCGCCTCGTAATCGCGCTCAGTTCGCTCACTCCATTTATACTGCGGCGCCACAGCCCCGGCGAATTCATGTAATTTATCCGACACTTAAACACACCTTACCGTTACAAGAAAATCCAACAATTCATTCCTCAATTTGTGTACCAATATACCCGGAACTTGATACGTGCTTTACCTGACAATGTATCTGGGAGTTAAAATGTGTTCGACCTGACTGACAATGTCCCGTCTCTGTTTCAGACGTTCGGTCAGGTACCACCACCCCGGTTAGACTACGGTGGCCTCACGCAAGAAGTGTTTTTCCTAAACTTAGAAGATGGCTATTTTGGCTGCCAAGTAAACGAGAGCTCCGAGGTGCTGCAGCTGTTTGAGCTGTCCAAGCTGTGTGATGGCGTGCCTCAGTGCTATCTCGGCTCTGACGAGCTGGTTAAAGAGCTTAAGTGCACAAGTAAGTCATACCCGTTTTTATTATTTGACTTAAATGTAGGCATAGTTCGCTACCGCTAAAAAGAACTTTATATAATATGCACAAATGATTTAAATTATTCTCTATCACATCTCCTTACTTTGTAACAAAAAAAAATACGTTGTATAAAATATTTGCGTCACATTCAAATACCGATGTGTAACAGCGCGTTTCGTCAAAGGCCGTTTAAGATGGTTTCCCTGATGGCCGGTGTCCGCTCCCACCAGCCCATTACGTGTCGCTGACTCCCGTTTGTCGCCCCGACCGATCCTCAGACCACCCAGCACCTCCAACGACCCGCTCGCGTGTCCACCCGCCATTGTCCTCCTGCAGTGACCCCTGAGCCAACGGTCGGACCAGCAGCAGTGTCATCACGTAATGGACTGTTACGGCACCCCCAGACGTTAGTCGCCAAACATGTGTCCCAGCGACAAACAATGGCACAAAACAGAGTGAAAGAAACGCAACTGAGCAACAATAACGATTATGTATTTGATGATGCATTTACGAATTAACAAAGCCGTGATGACATCACTTAATTGAAAACCACAGTCCACAGCTAGAAAAAAGCAGGTGTTGTAGTTTGAATTGCAAACACTTGTTTATCATTTCTCTTTACATTCTATAGCTTGACAAGAGTTATAGCTCCCTCAAGGTCAACGTCCCTCCTGCAAAGCAGCCCCGACTTCAGATTCAATCATGGCCACATCACCAATCAGTATGCCAGCCATCTCTGCAATCATCGGTGGCTGTGCCGATCACGAGCTAATGCCCAATTTGCGCCCCTCCCCTCCAGTGATCGTGAGACCGGTCTCAACCAGTACCGGTCCCTGAGACCGGCTGGACTAGATGGGACCACATGACTGGACCGGATCACTGTCTGAGAGGCAGCTCTCACATCCCAGTAGGACAGACATGATTTGTTCTTTCTCTTCAGTTTCAGCCAGACTACCAGACATAACCGTATTGCTCGTTCCTTCCCGATAGATATGGATTTGTATTTCAAGGAGCTGTAACCTTATTGAGCGACATACCTAGCCTTTTCATTATGACACTCAGGTATTCTGACGCAACTCCCGACCACCTAGCACCGTTTTGTGCCGTCCTTTACCATCTCCCACGGTCCTTCCATCCGAGTCCCTCGCCTTCCCTCGAGTTGTCGGCGCCTCTCATGGTCCCACGATCCCGCGGATCTGACCGGGGCGCGCAGCCCGACCGACACACCGTTTTTGCCGTGGCGCCGCTGCCGGCGTGCCCGGCGTGCTGCCGCTCAGGTCTGTGGGCGCTCCGGCCGCGGCGGCGGACAAAACCCGCAGCGCCGGACTGCGTCCACCGGTCACCGTCGCCGCGGACCGGTCCGCCGCCGGCCGGGGTCAATGCATGGCGTCGGCGGTGACCGCACTGACCGCTGACCGGCTGCTCACCTCACCACGTCCCGCCTCTGTTGCAGACACATGTCAGCTGGCCACCGGCCGGCCCTGTGTCAACGGTGCCTGCCTAGATTCTCAATGCTACTGTAACGATGGCTTCGGTGGCAAGGGCTGCGAGATGCCCGGTAAGTAGCGCCGTGTCGGCACAAAGTCCCACTGTGTGTGCACAAGGTGTTTGAGGGTTACGAGTGTATTTGATGTCCGGACACTAAGACAACGAAATCTGAGACTGCTAAGTTTGAACTGTTCTACGAAAACTGAATATGGATGTGGCGTTGATTGGAGGTGGAAGGCAAGTGATAGGGAAAGGATATGTAAAGGTTTGATTGCTGCTTATACTCCTACCTACATTGTTTTCAAATGTCTTGAATTTAACGTATTTTGACTAAATGATCAGTGCAGCTTGTCCTCATAACTACGCTGCTGACACTAATTCCTGACTTCGGAATCTGCATCCCCGCTGGTAATACTATTGCGAATCTCGGTTAAGTAACTAAGCTGAGCAGTGATGCGGTATTGATTGATAGGCCAGCGATCCTTCTTGGAGCCGCTCGCGGCGCCGTTGCTCCGGGTAGGGAGTTACGTCAGCAGGCGCGGCGGCCTTGTCACCTCGCCTGCGGGCAGCAGATGTAGCCGTCTGGCCGCTGCTGGCGAGGGTCGCGCGAGGGGTGTACCGGCCAGCCGTCACTTCCGGCCACGGCGATCATGACGCACGCCTTCAGCGGCGGCAATCGTGACGCAGATGTTCAGCGGCCGCGACCGTGAGCGCGGAAACCCCGCCACCGGAGCAAGGACCGATACCGTGATCAATCACCACATCATCAACCGAGCCGAGGGATATCAGTCCAGTGCCCTTAAAAAAAAAAACTGATAACCTCACTCTTTTGACGCAAATGACACGGCGTGTTTGTTTCAGATGAGAATGAATGCAAGTACCGCCCGTGCGACATCTTCGCGCGGTGTACAAACACGATGGGCGGCTTCTTCTGTTCCTGTTTCCCGGGATACGAAGGCGACGGCACAACTTGCACAGGTAGGTTTTCTTCTGACAGCACGGCGCCTTCTGCCGCGCCCGTCAGCCCACACACATCCTGTTCACCCACAACAGAGCGCGAGAGAAACCCAAGACCGGCTCTGTTTGTCCACTTTGGCGGAAGCCGCGTGCTGCTCCAAACAAAAGACGGCCTTAGCTGACCCGAACCGCCGCCCGTCGGACGAGGCGAGAGCTACACGCAATATCGCCGACAGACGGCGTAAATCTTACATCCGCGCTGCAGCACCTGAGAGACAGGTCAGCGAAAAACAGCCGGGCTTGCCGCCGTGATAGCGGGTGGAGCCGGCCCTCGAGTCGACGCTGAGGGCGTCACAGTGAAAGGCTGCCAGGTGCCAACGGACGCGTAAGAGTGCCACTGTCGAGGGTCACAGCGGGGGCCGGAGAGCGCGTGGGTCGGGGGTCGCCTTGGTGGCGACTGGCGGATGTCCGCCCAGGTATAACCTAGTTACATCGGCTGCGGGCTGGAACTGAGGAAGTGTGGTCCTGAGATACACATGGGCCAGCTTCAACGGATAAGTTAGCTCCATGCATCTTGTACGGGGTCTGGGCTGCTAAGAACCCCTTTATGAACGCTCACCTCAGCGCGCCTTGTAGCAATGTAGCTGGGTAGCTGACTCGTGATTAATCCCTGGGCGTCGCCGGCACAGACAGATTAGATCTGCCCACTGGCCGTCTGAGGAGGGGGCGGGGGAGGGGAGCGGTGTCAGCGCGCCTCCACGCGCACTGACGTCACCCTGCGCTTATGGAAAACAGGCGGGTCCGGCACTCCGCCCAAACAGCGCCTATCCCTCCGCCTAATGCGCGCACAAGCGGGAGGGTGGCTGAAGAGTCAGCCGAAACGACTGATATCTCCCAGAACCGAGGAGTAGAGAAGCGGCGGTGCCAGGCACCCTCCCCATGTTAATCAGGGGAGAAGGGCGGGTGCAGCGGATGGTGCAGCTCAGCGACTGCACCATCCAGATGTCTGAGTGCATGATTCGTAGAGGACACAAAGAAGTCTGTGCTCGGTCGCCGACTCCGGCCCGGACCGTAAATCACCCTGCAGCAGCGCCTGCCTCCCGCCGCGGAGGGTGTCCCGAGACGCGCCGACGCGCCCAGAAAGTCGGCGTCACGGCCGCCGCAGCCACGTCATGCGCCGAGCGGCGCCGGCCCCGCGCGGAATGCGGCGCCCACTCGCGCGCTGCGTGCAGGTGCTGAGATGAGCGAGCGGTGCCGGGCACCAGGGCTGACGGCGGAGCTCCACCCATAGCTCCGGTCGGCCGTCCGCTCCCGCGCGCTAAAAACGCCGCCACACCGCGCCCGGTGAAGGGAGATGGGGTCAGCGCCGCGGTGTCACGACCGGCACGAGTCAACCAAGCGGAGCCGGGTCAGGTGTCGGCGGTTTAAAGGGCCGGGCGGGGCGGGGCGGGCTCGAGATGGCAGGGGGAGGGCGCGGGCCGCCCCACCAGGTGTGGGCCGACACTGCCGCGCCGACCGGCGCCGGCAAGGCCAGCCAGCCGGCCGGCCGGCCCCGCGGCCGCCCACGCCGGCGCCGATGAAGTGGAGAGACGGTGCTGGCGGCTGGGGCGGTGGCTCCGCCTCAGCGGCACCGAGGCCACCGCCCGCCGCCGGCGGCCGTCAGTCCACAGCCGCGCCCGCCCGCCCGCCCGTCCGGCACGCACCTTCTGCTCATCTGCACATTCACGGCCCGCTCCCAGCCGTGACACGGGCCGGTCACCAGCACTCCACCCCCGCCTCCCCGGGCCGCTCGCCGGCTGTGCCTGGGCCGTTTGGGGGGCATCGGGCGGTGATGTGGGCGCCCACCAAGGTCAGCGTGCCGCCCTCCATCGCCACCAGATGAGCCGATCGGCCGCGGTCAGTGGCGGTGCCCGTTCATCAGACCGAGCCGACCTCCTCACTAGACGGAAGGACCGGCGGCGCTCCAACTCCTTATCGGGACGGCGAAAGTGACGCGGCCGCCGCGTTCTCGGAGCGGCATTGTGACGTTCCGCTGGCCGGCCATCTCCATGGCGACCCAGACGCCGCCGGCGGGATGGTATACTCGCAGAGTGACGGAGCGTTCCGCAGGCCGACACCCTCTGGTCCTGTCGACGACTCACTGTAACAGACCGTGTCCACTGCCGGTGACTGCTCTGCGCTCCGCACAATGAGAAGCAGGACGGCGGCGCGGCCGCAGCAGCCGGGCGCGCGTGCAGTGCGCGGTCCGACACACCACCTCTGAGGTTTCGCTTTCTGTCAGCGGTGGTAACGGTGTCGGGCCGCCTGCACGTAACCAGGTCGCGGCATTGCAGCGGAGAGAAGCCCCGCTGCAGCCGGCACCGGGCCGGGCCTTGAGGCGGGCTTAGCCCGTCAGCTGGTCCACCCTCGCGACCCGGGACGTGGGTATCTCAGACGCCGGATGATAGCGCTCGTGAGCGGCCGACTGAGCCGGCTCGGCCGGGCCGTGAAGAGTGGCGAAGCGCGGCCGTGAACGCGGGCGCTGGAGCTCATTTCCGAGACCGCGCTGAATTAACGCACCTGCCACCCGCGGCCAGAGCCGGGAGAGATGACAGCGCGTCCGGGCGCACCGGAGCGCGGCCACACTTTCCCAGTTCGAGGATGCCCGTCACGTCTGTGTCGCGACCCGGAGGCCGCCTCCGAGACCGACCGGCCGACCCGTCATGGCGCACGCCACCCATATAAGGTCGTTTGCGCAACGCGGAAGGCTGTTGGCGCACGATGGCTTTCACCGCAGCGGGGCTGTTTTGCCGGGTGGCGTCGCGGTGCGATGCGCCATTGTGGCCCGTCCATATCGGGCGGTGGCCGCTCTGATTCCGATAAATGCCTCCCAAAAGGAGGTCTCATTAATGGTATGGTCCGCACGACATCGCCGTGTCACCACCCGGACTCCCCCGGTGGTCGGGACATGACCGGTCACGGGCGGGCTACGATCGCTGTCATTCCACGATCCCACGCGTTGGTCGCTGTCCAGTCAGCTAGAACCACCCCAAACGGCCACGTCACCGTCCAATTGGGAGTCCACTCGGTTCTCACACTGTGCCACTCCTAGCTCGGTGCAGTGCAGTACAGGAGGAGCGTCTGGCCGGGCTCGCTGGGAACGGTGGCCGAGGCCAATCAAACGCCAGCGATGGAACGCGGACGGAGAAAGCTGCGCTGCGTTTTATCATGGCGGGCCGGCGCGGCGGCCGCGTGCCACCGTCGCCGGGCCGCCGCGCCGGCAGGGAGGTTTCCCCGCACGCCTGCTAACGATCCACACACCCGGCGCGGCCGATGACGAGCGACCGGGCCCGGCGGCGCCGCTGACGCCCATCGGCTGGTTATGACACGGACGGCCGTCACTCAGGCCACCGCCCACGCCCGTCAGCAACAGCGACCGGCCAACTCGGCAGCGGCGAGGCGCTGGCCTTATGTGTAAATCCGAAAACCGGCCGCTGGGAAGCTCTGACATGCACCGCTAACAATGGGTGTGCACTGTGCACACAGGAAAACTGCATTTCAAGGAATGCACACGATTTGAAAATAACTGTGGACACATGTGAAGAACACCGGGTGAAGGTGCACTCAAAACTTTTTTACTACCTCCTGGAGAGTTCATTTTCATCAAACCCGCAAGATAATAGTATATTGAAAGGGTAACTCGCTGCTACCATTATGTGCATAGTAACGGTACGTGGTTAATATGAACTTATTCGCCAGCGAAGAGTATTATTACCATGTAAATATCAATATTACTCTCGCGATCCAGAACATCACGAAAACTCTTTCCTCCTGGGTATCGTGACTCGGGTACAGATAGTCGTTTCATGCGTGGATCTTGTTTACCCTCGTGAAGATGATATTTGAAATGGAAACAATCAGCCAATCAGAAACGAGATCGGCCGTTTGCGGTTTGAAGGCCGCGCGCATCTGTCAGTTTTCGGCCGTTGGTCTCCGAGAGCGGATGCGAGCAGTGTCGGTGCCGCGCGGCGTGGCCGTTGGTGATTGTGCTTGTGTGTTGTTCATCGCCTATAGAGCCTCTGTGGACATTTTATTGTAAGTACCGATGTGCTAGAGCATTGCGTGCCGTTGAGTGGTGCTAATTTGACCTGGTTAACAGGACCCCGTGCACGGCCACGTGGCCTAAGTGTTGTGAGTACGTACATTAATTTTGTTGTGATGCTACAAGTTTATGCATTTTGTTGGTGACTTTGAAAAAGCCTTGCACTGTAGTGATCCAGTCTCATTATCTCACGCAGACGGGCGACCACCCAGGAACGCCGTCGCTCACTTCAAATATTGTGCGCTCTGCCTAATCCAATATGAGGGCGCTGAATGTCTTGTATTCATATTCAAATTGCATTCAAGTTGTATCGTGGTGTTTATTTACCGCTTGTGCATTGCTGAACGCTTTGTATAAATTTGTATGAATAAGTGAAGAGTCTCACAATGTTCATGGTTGGTGTGCCCCTCGTATTGTTTGTACGGAAGCCAAATATACCTACATTGTTGCTCTTGAAACATTTTTTTTTTAGTTGGTGAGCTCCGGTTAACAGAAGCTTCGTGAAGCTTCTGAAGGAAGCGTCTGTGGGTCTGTTACCATCCTCTGGGGGGGTTTACACTAAAGGAAAGAGTAAACATTACCATGTGACAAAGGGTAGGCCATAAGAATATACTCTCTGTAGGAGGGTAAAGCACAGAGTAGATGATGCGTTACTCCCTAAAAAAGGGTTCCGTTAAAGATTTACCCTTTCAAAGAGTGTAACCCAAAAAATGTTACACTCTAGACAAGAGTAAATCAAAAGAGTTTACCATTCAGAAGATGGTAAAAAACGTCTGTGTGTCATGTTACCGGCCTCCCTGGCGAGTTTACTCTTCATGAAAGAGTAAAATTTACCATCTGGAAGGTGGTAAAAAACGTCTGTGTGTCAAGCTACCATGCTATGACGGGTTTACCCTTCAGGAAATGGTAAAAAAGTTTTCAGTGTGTTTGTTTGGTTTGA